TAAAATAAAAGTGTGAGAATGTTGACAGCACTGTCTATTAGAGAGACAAATTTAAATCTAAACTAGTAGACAGACTAAAGTAAAAACTGGGAACAGGAAAGGGGAAAAAAATCTAATATGACAGAATTAACAAGAAGGTGAAATGTTCGAAGAAAACACGAGCTGCATGTATACATGATTAAAGCTTCACCTCTCTATGGCTTTGTCCAGCTGATAGATGATGGCCTGCAGCACAGCTTTGTGGGTGGTGACGTCTGGCCGATGGAGGCGGGCAGTAAACAGCGCCAGAGCAGCACCCTTTGCATCACGGCCAGGCTAGTGAGAACATCAACAGGTCATCACACACACACCAATATATACCCCACTTGTATTCATAACAAGGCACAATTATAGCATGCACGTGTACAGCGACATGAACACACACACAAAATTTCTTAATGACCACCATGTGCACCATTTTTTCTGTATTTAATATGGTAACAGCAAAATAATACACTGGAGTCCCTTTCTGTTAAGTGGCTCATAATTGCTTCATTACTCACCAGGACTGTAAATTTGCCACTCAGCAGCTCAGAGCGTAGCGGCTCCTCGTCAGGGTTGATATTGATGATGCCCTCTTTGATTCTTGTGTTCTAATTTGGATACAGAATGACACAGAAAGGACAGAAAGGGGACAGTCATTAGCATGCAGGAAAAATTGCACCTAAGCAATTATTTAACAGCATCAGAAAAACTTTAATATCCTGCATTTTTAGTTGCTAGTTGCTTTACTATTAATTTATGAACAATAGCAAGTTCAAGCATTGTACTTTTAATGTTAGTGGCAAGTTCAATGTTTTGTTTAAATCACAGATTATGCCTTTAAGGTTTGTGCCAACAACAAAGAAGGTAAACAAGGGCTGGAACCAAATATCTGACTATTCGTTCGCTGTGCTGGAATCAGGATATCAATTTTAATCCCCCCCCCCCCGGCGCCACTGACGGCGGATACAGTACAGTGAACTCTGATGGCACCATCTCCCATCTTCGCTCACTCCTGCCCCATCGGACCGAATGCTCAGTAGCACAACGAATACCCACCCGCCACCACCGCACGGCACCCCCAAATATTTGGGATATTCGTCATTAATTGGGGCCAAATATCCAGAGAACACAAATTGCTATTCGGACCAGCCCTAGTAAACAGATGTTTTACTTCAGTCAAAACAATGCTGTACCTTGTACGCTTGGAAAAGATCGATGGCTCTGGAGACGTCAAACTTGCGGGCCATAAGAAACTTAACAGCTGTAGGTTGGGAGACGAGCCCAGCACTGTGAGGCTGCTCCCTGCTACGCACCTCACTCAGGAACTCCTCCACAGCCTAGATGGACACGGGAGATTAGATGGAAGGGAAAAGGTGAGCTTGTGGGTGTGTGGTAAGAATATCAGCAGAAAAAGAAAAAACATTAAAGCTTGTCATTTAGGGAGCAGAGCAATACAAAGACAGGCAGACAAGTGATCAGAATGATAACTGACATGAGAAGGAAAATGCACAAATCCATCAACACCCTCAGCTTTACAGCTTCTTCCTTGCCAAAGTTACTAAAACGTGTGATACAGATGGTAGCAGCCGGCTGTGCCACTGGAAGATGCCGTGGATGAGAGCACTCGTATGCCATGAGACAACAGTTTACTTGTTGTACCCCAATCAGGTTGCTTCTGCCCTCCAAACTTGAAACTTTGTGAGTACAAGATTGGGTACAACAGAGTACCTATTCAGCTATTAAAGAAAAAAATATACTCTCTTATATGTAAGGACAAAGACATGGATATCAAATATCAACATTAAAGCAAAATCAAGGTTTCCCTATTAATTTTTTGGCAGATGTGGTAAGCCAAGATTTTGAAGCATTTTTCTTGTGATGCAGTTTATCTGCTCAACGCTTCAACAAGAGACAGACTCATGAAACATGAGGCATTTGATCAGTAAAAATCTGCATTTGCTGCTCCATTTCTTTTCCTGGCTATGTATACTTAGTGCGTAACTGACATGCACTAGCAATGTATTACCCACAATTCATTACTTTTTTTATTGTTATTATAAAATAGCAATACCTGGACTTTAAAAAATCTGTGGCATTGTGACATACCCTGAACTAAACGCTAAGTAATGCTGCGATTGGAGGTACTACATAATGACATACAAAATATACACAGCATTTTAATTGAGACAGAAGAAGCAGGGTATTAAATAAGATCTATGTAATTACAAGAAAGGTACACGGCCTATTTTAGCGCTCTTGATACCCCTCGTGTTGGCCTACAAGTAATAGTACACATATTCATAGGTTAACATTTTATATACCGCAAGGATGCGAGTTGTTTTTTTTCAGATTTGGGGTACAATAACTTTTTAATCGGATATACATATGAGAAACTGACTGTATGTCAGTAACAATAACTGATCATCAACACCAGGATGATCAAAACCGGCAACAAGTCGCTGAATTCAGGAGCGACCTAAAGCTACAAATGTTTCGTACTGCAAGTAGTTAACGGATTGACGTTACTGGACGCGAGAAAGGGATGTTAGCTATCATGATAGAAATATGTAAATCTGGGGAGCAGTCCTGTAATTTAACTCAGTGATCAATTAACCTTGTCAATGTTAGATTAAGATTAAACAAGTAACTGTAAATTAATATTGTCATCACAGTCGCTGAGTGACATTTGTTACGAGCTATCAAAGTCAGGCCCACCCCTTTTACTAGAAAGTGATGGCAACAACAATGCTAGGAACCGGAGGATCACTTCTGTGAATTCTCGATCGTAAATCCGACAGACAGGACGCTGCTAGTTAGTAGGTTCATAGCAAACACTCCCGTTGTACGACGAGAGTCCTGATCTTGCTCTTTATTTACCGTGTCATTGTGTATAAGCACAAGCAATAATTTAGGCAATCACCCGTTGTTCATTTTTAACCTTCACAAGTTGTCCACTACCACTTTTAACGTCTAGCAAGACAGCTGTCGAGGAAATTCCCTGCAAGTCAACAATAGCTATCGGCTAGCGGCTAGGTTACATGTGGTAGCTGGATGGCTAACGATACCGTTAAAGACACAAGAAACCACATGTATGGGGCTAATCATAGGTAATGAAGTGACGCTAGTCAGCATTAGCAATATGAACATTTCTGCGTGTTCCATGTAAATCTGGACTATCAGGGGAGCCAATATTTGAGAAGCACAGCCGGTTAAATGATCCCTTCTACTACTAGCAAACGCCATCATGCTAACACACATGCTAACTACTGTCATTCACACCGGAGTCAGTCGACACCGGAGGGTGCGAACGGGCCAGGGCTGTTTACTACTCCACAGCGCTCCTCGGAACAACCATGTGACGAAATATACGGAAAAAATCGCCGGTGATAGACGAAACTGCAGATGATATGTGTACACACTGAACATGGTGGGAAGATGAGGGAAAAAATCGTCAAGAAACCCTTACCAGCTGCTCCTGAGTTGTCAGGGCTTCCGCCATCTTGAAGCCTCCGCAACGTCGCAGCGGGCGCGCCCACCAGCCGCTCGCTCACGCCATACAGCGCGAGACAGACAGCGAGGCCCTGCCCATCCAGAGCCACTAATGAACTACACACAGGAAGTACCGACGGTCCTGCATGGGTCCATCCAGCCCGCTACTCACTGTTTAAAACTCCACTGACAAAACCCAGTTCATCAAAACAGTCTACCAGAGACAGCATCCTATTTATTAATATTAGTCAACACACTGACAACCTTTTCCACACAGTTCACTTTCCATAGTTCAGAAACTACATTTTGCTGTGGATAGCCTATGAATGTGGAATGCCGTTTTATTCAATAATAATAAATAAATGCACAACACACAATTCTCGCGAGAGAAAAGTCACCTGAAATAAATAAGAAGGAAAAAGGTTATTTCAAAAATGTAAATGCATGCATTTATTTATTTATTACCTCTTTTATGTATTTAATTGTTTATTTAATGCCGACGTTAATGTATATAAGAGGAATATTTCTATTAGTGTGTAAATATGGCATTATGACATGAAGTCCCCTGAAATAAATAAGAGTTGTTCTTTGAAAAAAATCTCATTTTCAGAAGAAAAATGTATGTATGTATGTATGTATGTATGTATGTATGTGTGTATGTATGTATGTATGTATGTATGTATGTATGTATGTATGTATGTATGTATGTATGTATGTATGTATGTGTGTATGTATGTATGTATGTATGTATGTATGTATGTATGGATTTTTTTTCAGGATTTATTTCATGGCTACATTTATGTATTTTAGAGGTATATTTATATTCAATGATGAATATTTCATTATGACATAGAAGTTCCCTGAAATCAATACGAGTAGTCCTTTAAACATTTTCCTTTTTAAATTAAAATTGTATTTCATATTTATCTTTGTATTTGTTTGATTAATAAAATGGCATTTTATACATCAACAGTGGCGCACTTTTTAAAGCTGACTATGTTGTGGTTATAATGGTTATGAACGAAACAGTAGCTTTTTCTTTGACAGTTGGTAAAAACATAACTCATCCAGTAAGGTCTCACACAGTCACGTGTTTATTTTACCAATAACATGTAATCAAAACAATAATAGATAAATAATCACAATTTAGTATTGATAAAACTAGTATGACCATTACTATTAGTGAAAGGGGCAGCAGCAGCAGCAGCAGTGGTGGTACATGGGAACTTTGAAGACGCAGCGCTGATTCCGACGGACTGTTTCAGTGAAACACCGGAGTGGCGCTCCGGCGGCCTTTTTGATTTGTTTCACACTGCCGAACAAAAATATTATATGTAGTAACCAAAATAACCAATTTAACGGCGACGCCCGTTTTCGCTTGTCTTGATAAACATTTCTGAAGACTCGTGTCAACAGTTCATTTTATGTCATGGTAATTTTTATCCTCTGACTCAGACGTTTGTCAAAACCTGTACAACTTCTTCAGCATGAGCACCTCGGGTCCTCTGAAAAAGAAAAGCTACATGGGACAGCACCAGATCAAAAAGAAAATAAGGTAAGATTAGGGAACAGTTCTACTTTGTTTATGTTGCTACCTGATTTAGATGAATTAGGACCTGGTTCTTTCTGTTGCCTGGATACATCTTCCAGTTTTTTTAAAATCAGGTTTCTAAATATGAACGTTAGTCGTAATAAATGTACATATTCCCGAGCACAGTTTCCAGACGAGCGATGCGCCACCAGACGGAGACGGGCTGTTGCACAAACCCTGCGACCTGTCAGACAAAACAAGCAAATCAGACAACTTTTTTAAAGACAGCCGCATGGTGAGTGTGACAACTTTAGAGAGAGCTTTTTCTTTTCTTCTCTCTGGAGAGGACAAATTACACGTGTGATTTTCTGTCTAAGGGTGGAGGAGCTGTGTCTCTACTGGGGGAATCCACTTTCGCTCTTGATGAAGAGATGCTGCAGGTGCTGGACGCTGTCAACCCTGTAAAGCCCGCAATTAACAAGGCTTGTTCAACAGCAGTAAACAGGCTTGCTCGGGAGGAGCCATCAGCATCAGCTGCTTCTGCGGCTTCACGACCTCCTGCATCAATGGTACACAATAAAAAAAAGAGTGACTTGGCGAAGATCAGAGAAGAGGCGCCTGTTCAACCCACAGACCGAGGAACCAGTGGAGCCTCTAGCCCTCAGGAGGGAGTCTGTGAGCAGGGTGAGGATGGTAAGAGACTGGGATGGCGAGCTGACTGCAAAGACCTCGCTAAGAAGCTTCTCTTCAGTGAGGACTCTGAAGAAGTGGAGCATGCTCAGAAGGGTCCAGAAAACAACCTTTCAAAACCTGCTTCTTCCTGTGTCAACAATCTACCTTGTAAAGAAATACAGAAGAGTCAGCAGGCAAGCAGTTCCAGCAAGTAAGTCTAAACTTAAACATTACTGTATAGTTTCATTTTGATTTTCTGTTTAAATGTGAACATTTCCCATTTTCCTGCTTTTTTGAAGGCAGGGGCTTATACCCAGAAGGAAGCACTCTCCTCCCAGCAAAGACAAAAGTGTGTCACGTAGTAATGCTGATCCATCTCTGGATATATCGAGGGACTACATCTTGTTCAGCCCCACTCGTCTGGCAGCAGCAATGAAGAAGGCCAAACTCCAGCGGTCATTACAGAATCAGTCTGCCTCTGTCCTCACAGTCCCCAGTGGCTTAGAGCTCAGCACTCTTAGCGACACGCTACTTCAGCCAGGTGAAGTATTTTAAGCACAGTCGTAAAAACTTCATCTATGTTGACATTTGTGTCTTTGTATTTATTTATTTCTTTTACAGCATGCCAGGCTAGATGAGGGGGTTAATCCTACCCAGACATACAAATACTGTGTGGTATTTTGTTATATACTTATAAAATAAGTGAAAAATAGTGAAAGTCTTGAAATTAGATTTGATATGCAGATCCTCCTCATGACATAGATTCAAGTTCAGAAAATAAAGGGAGACTCATTTTCACGCTCTTATTATTTCCATTCATGCTGTTCTTTAGTGGTGTTTTCAAATTTTAAAAAAAAGAAAATCAATTAAATGAGCCCAAGGAAAGGCGAGTGTATTTGAATAGAGCCCGCCCATAACGACCAGGCAACTCAAAGTGCTTAACATAGACAGAAAAAAAGGCATTATGATTGTATATATGTATAATAAACATAAGACAGATAAAAAGGTTTAGATAAAATAACAAAAACAAAAAAACAAAGCTGTGCAAGATGTAAATGACAAATTTGAAGTTGAAAAAAAAGGGGGCAAAATCCTGTGAACACAGTAAGCCTGGAGTTTTTACGATCCAGGAGCAGTTGCCTATTTGTGCTTACGCTTACAAATGCAGCCTTTTGGTTTGTATGAATGACTTTCTTGTCCAAGTGTCTCCAGACTGTATACTTACACTGAACTACAGTTATATTTCACATTACACTGTGTCTCTGGTAGACACCCTGGAATTAGATTTTCCCTTTTCCATATAAAATCTGCTTTCTCACTTGTGCCTAAGACTCCTGTCAATATTGTGATTTAATACCATGTGTAAAGGGATTACATTGTGCTCCACCGTAGGCATTGCTTTGTGTGCTCCTGCGGAACAAGCTGAAAAGCTGCTGTTATCCAGCTGGGGCTTACCGAAACCTGTCCTGGAGCGCTACCAGAAACACGGAGTGACTCAGATGTTTGAGTGGCAGGCTCAGTGCCTCACTGTTGGACAGGTGCTGCAGGGAGGTAACCTGGTATACTCTGGTAAGAAACTGAGCATCTCTCTACAAATTTGCAGAGCCAGTCACTGTTGGCTCATTTTCACCATTTATCACTGAATTTTCAGCACCCACCAGCGCTGGGAAAACACTCGTGTCAGAGCTGCTGATGTTGAAACGGGTTTTGGAGACCAAAAGAAAAGCTCTCTTTATTTTGCCATTTGTCTCTGTGGCCAAAGAGAAGATGCACTACCTTCAGGTGAGGAAGGGGTGGACAGAAAAGTACATTAATTTAGTTTTTGTCTATGTTGTATTTCAATTTAACTGTATCTCTTACCTTGTAGACAGTATTTGAAGAGGCAGGAGTACGCGTGGAGGGATATATGGGCAGCACATCGGCTGCTGGAGGCTTCACTGCACTGGATGTGGCTGTTTGCACCATAGAAAAAGCCAACTCTCTGATTAATAGACTCATTGAAGAGGATAGAATGGATCTTCTAGGTAATACCTATGTTATAAGAGCTGAAACAACTAATCGATTTTATCAGTTTGTGAATTGACAGAAAATTAATGCCAAACATTTGCTAATTGCAGCTTCTAAAGTGTGAGAATGTTTTTCTTTCTCCATTTGATATCACTGTAAATAATTGCAAAACCAGTAATTTAAAGATTTTACCCTTGGCCTTCTATTTTTTTTTTTTTTTTAACTATTTTCTGTCATTTTAGAGACTAAAGGCCTAGTTAATAAATTGAACAAAGCAATGGATTAAACTGTAATAGAAAAGTTGCAGCACCATTAGTGCGTATTCATGCTCATAGATCATTTATGTGCTGCTAGGTATGGTGGTCGTCGATGAGTTACATATGGTTGGAGATTCTGGAAGAGGATACCTGCTAGAGTTGCTCTTAACCAAAATCCGCTACATTGCACAGCGGCAGAACACCACAGGGTCTGTGTCCATTAGTTCCTCTATATTTTTTCATGATTAACAGTATTTAAAAACAATGTTCCTCCCCCACACCCAATTATTAGTCTATCTTTCTTTAGGTCTCTCTCTGACGGTGTACAGATAATAGGTATGAGCGCCACTTTGCCAAACCTCTCCCTCCTGGCTAAATGGTTAGCTGCAGAGCTTTACCAGACAGACTACAGACCTGTGCCCCTGAAGGAGCATGTCAAGGTGGGCTGCGACATCTATGACAAGAGCCTCACTGTGATCCGGCAGTTCACCCCTGCTCTCCACGTTAAGGTAATTTGAGACTGAGTAGTCCAGAAATGATCCAGTATGTGTGTTATTGTGATGGATGCATACTTTCTCACGAACAGTAATAAGACTGTGTACTCTTTTACTGTTTGAAGGGTGATGATGACCACATAGTGAGCTTGTGCTATGAAACGGTGAGAGAGGGCCACTCTGTGCTGCTGTTCTGCCCTTCAAAGAACTGGTGTGAGAAGCTGGCAGACAGCATTGCTAGAGAGTTCTATAACCTCAGGCATGCTGGTATGTGAAATTGTAATAAATATGTAAATACAGTTCAGATTTAATTGAAGTCAAACTGAAGCTTATTTAAAGGATGATTTGTGTTGCATTTTGTGTTATTTTTCATGTTGATGATTATTACTATTTTTTTTTAAGAGTGCTGCTGCGTATAAAATTTTGGATTCTGGTGTCTTTTTTTGCTGATCGTCCAGGTGAAGCTGAGCCTCAGCCAGTGTGTCTGGACCGAGACGGACTAGTGGATGTAACAGCCCAACTGAGACGCACTCCGGCTGGCTTAGACCCCATCCTGCAGCGCACTGTGCCATGGGGAGTGGCTTTTCATCACGCTGGTAAATGCATTTACCCAGCCCTTGAATCACAAAAACAATTTGCATCTAACTTTTTTTCCTGAGTATGTAAATAAGATTTTCCACAACATTTGACTGTGCAGGTTTGACATTTGATGAGCGTGACGTGTTGGAGGGAGCTTTTCGTCAGGGCACGGTCCGAGTCCTGGCTGCCACGTCCACCCTTTCCTCAGGGGTTAATCTGCCAGCTCGCAGGGTTATCATTAGAACGCCTACTTTCAATGGGCACTTGTTGGACCCGCTCACATACAAACAGATGGCCGGGCGAGCAGGGAGGAAAGGGGTGGACACTACAGGTTAGAGACAAATAAAATGTGAATTGTTATTTTGGTGTCTGTCAGTGTTTTTTTTTTAGAATAATTGAGATTGTCTTGCTTAAAAAGTTGATAAAAACTCATCTTTTCTTCAGAATGACGTCATTTTATTCTTCCCTTCTAGGTGAAAGTGTGCTGGTGTGTAAGCAGGCAGAGCATCAGAAAGGTATCAGCCTCCTTAAAGGTGCTCTTCAGCCAATCAGCAGCTGCCTTGTGAGAAGAGAAGGAGAAGGTGTTACCACCAGCATGCTGAGGGCCATCCTGGAGGTATGATTAGTACCTCCAAGAACTTAAACTGGCAAAAATGAAAATGACTTATGCTGTTAATGGTTTAGATTAATTTGTCTTTATATATAGTTACTGCACCATTTTAGTCAAAGGCACTTTAACTCACAGTCACAAAACAATCAGCTACATAAAGATGCGTGTAATTGTTCTTCTTTACATCATTCTGAATCACAGATCATTGTTGGAGGCGTAGCCTGCACTCCACAGGATGTGAGATTGTATGCTTCGTGCTCACTTCTGGCTGCCAGCATGAAACGTGAAAGCAAAAAAGAATCAAATGAGGAGACCAACAAAGGAGCTATTGAGGCCTGTGTTGAATGGCTGATGGAGAATGAATTCATTAGTATCCAGAAAGAGGGACATGGTAATGCCACAATTGTCACAGTGTTATCTTATGATCTGCCATATTCATCCTTTACTTGATATCACTGCTACATGATGAATAGACCTCCAGTAATGTCATGACTCTCTGGTAACTGAGATTTAGCAAAATTGTTCTCACAGTTAAGCAATAGATTGCTCATAAATTTCATTTATTATTTTTCTTTGATTATTGCTTTTATACAACTTGAGCACAAGTATGAATTGTTCTCACATTTTCCATGACATTTATGGCTGTTTATCCTCTGTTGTCTCTACATGTTCAGATGAGCGCTACTGTCCAACCCAGCTCGGTGCTGCCACCCTTTCTTCCTCCCTCTCACCTCCAGAGGCTCTGGGAATATTTGCTGATCTCCAGCGGGCCATGAAGGGCTTTGTACTTGAAAATGATTTGCACATCCTATATCTGGTACACACATTATAACTTGTTGAAAGAATTTCTGCTGGATATATGCTCCCCCTTAATGTTACTAATAGATGCCTCATTGTACATAAATCCTAATCATCCTGTAAACTAGCAAAAGCATCCTCTCATGAAACTTACAAAATCCACACCAGTTCTCCAAAGCAAAGTATTTAAAATTCTGTGTCTGAATTCTTCTCAGATCACGCCGCTCTACGCCGAGTGGACCACCATAGATTGGTATCAGTTCTTCTGTTTGTGGGAGCAGCTGTCGTCATCGATGAAGAGAGTAGCAGAGCTGGTTGGCGTCCAGGAAGGCTTTCTTGCACGATCTGTCAGCGGCAAACTTGTTGCCAAGACAGAAAAGCAGCATAGACAGATGGCTATTCATAAAAGGTAATGCACTTATTTATTTTAATTACATAAGTTATATGTACATCCATCTATAAACAGTCCTTCTGATTTAGTTTTCTGTGTTTTAACTTTTTAAAAATATGACTGAAAGTAGCAGCAAGCCAAAGTATGTGGATTATAATAATAAAACTTAAAAACAGCATGTGACTTGGAAGCATTTACATTTGTAAAGTTTGTAATGGTCTGTTTTGGATGACATCCTGCCATCATGTCAGAATTAGGCTGCTAGTCATGACAAGAGTTATTGGGTAGGGTGTATGTGCATTGTTATGTAGTGACAAAAAACTGCTTCTCACAAGGCCACATTTTAGGGTTACAGCTGCAGTATGCAGGAATCTGGAAAAGCAGAGCAAAAGCCTCAAATGGGCAAAACTAGTCCAGCTAAAGATTAACATAGTCTTGTGACTTCACATGTGATTTGAAGGTTCTAGGGTTGGTGACAGTTAAGTGTTATGGTCATGGGGCTCGGTGTTGCATTATGTAAATGAGAGTCCATGTAGGTTTGCATTGGGCCTCATAAGAACCACTCACCAGCAAAATTCATTTTTGTAATTAAAATGTCTGTCAGAGTATAGTCTAGCTCTGATTTTGTAATATAGTATAGTGCAGTGCAGTGCCGTGTGTTCATTATGTTCATTATATTCATCATTCAAAAATGTGGCCATTATTTGCACAATGATTTCCAACATTGTGGCTCTTGGACATAAGCTGACACAAAAAACAAACCCATTGAAAGATGTACCTCCTGAAAGTTCTATTCATTTTTTTAATTAGGTGGGATCCTTTGTCATTTGCATCCTCTTTTTTTTTTTTTTTTTTAATCTCTCCTCAGGTTTTTCACTACTCTTGTACTGCAGGATCTGGTGAATGAGGTCCCTTTGGGAACTGTTGCATCTAAATACAACTGCAATCGTGGGCAGTTACAGTCTCTCCAGCAATCTGCATCCACATATGCAGGTACATTCTTAGGACTGTTGGCAAGTTGCTATTGTGAATTTGAATTGATGAAGTACAACATTTTGTGGCTTGTAGCACAGCACATTACAACGTGGCATTCTACTCTGAAGGATATAATGCCTTTGAATTCTAACCAAGACTTTGTATTAAACAGGGAAAGCAGTAACAAGTATAATAACTTAATGCAAAAAGCAGGAAAGCTTTTGAGTGATAGTTATGCAGGGCAGAACCAAATCCATTAGCTGATATTTCTGAATATTTTATTTAGAATCAGGTATCCATCATTTATAAGTGCTCATTCCTTCTTGCATCATGTTACTGTGAGATGGTTTATGAAGTCCCAGTGTTGTTCCATATCAGATGTTGTTTATTTTCCATGATATATGTAAACACACAAAGAAACCTAAGGAAAATACTGAACTAAAAAGCAACACATTGGTGATTCCAAATCACATACATGGCTGTGCAGCTGAAAGAAATTCTTCTGTGCTATTCCCATCAGGTATGGTAACTGTGTTCTGCAAGCGTCTGGGATGGCACAACATGGAGCTGCTGCTGTCTCAGTACCAGACCAGACTCAGCTTTGGAGTCCAGAGGGAGCTGGTCGATCTGGTCAGGGTTTCTCTTCTGAATGCAACACGAGCCAGAGCGCTGTATGCCCAAGGCCTCTGTACTGTTGCAGAACTAGCCCGTGCTACTGTAGCTGACGTGGAGAAAGCCTTGCGGAATGCAGTCCCGTTTAAGAGGTAGGTGTGTATTTGTATATATGTCTTCTATTAAGATATACATTTGTGTTAGGAAAACAAGTATATTAGTCCTTAGGGGACACATAGGCTAATAGCACAGCATTTAGTTGTGCAAAAAGTGAATGTTTCATTTATTGAGCCATTATAACATAATTGAACACAAACAGAATTTAATAAAAGGTAGCAAAACTAGATAAGAATAAAGAAAATATATAAGTAAATAAAATAAAAAAATTACATTTGATTTTAGAACACAACTTAAACCCTAAGTAACAGCACTTTATTTGTGCTTGTACAACATGTAAGAGACAGAAGAGCTGTCATGCAAAATTAATCAACTTAACTGACCCTAACCTTTTAAGTCGATGCAACTGATGATGCCGGATGCACTCAGGTTTGCACTGCTACCACAGCTTGACCACAATTATATGCACATCACACTACAAGGCCATTGGAAATTAGCATTAATTAAAACAGTAGAAACTGCACACTGATTTGAAACCACAAATTTGTTTAAATCAAAAACATTTTGTTTTCAGTCAGCTCTTTGCAAGACTGGAATGTTTGAGTAACGTCTTATATACATACCATAGCCTGACAACTCTGTAAAGTCAGGTGTAGTTAACCATCTGAGTGAAAAACATCTTAAAACAGTTACTAGTTCAAAAAATACACAATGAAAACTCAGTCAAAAGTCAGTAAGTATTAGTGCACTTTGAATTAGGTTTTTATTTAAATAAAGTTGTGCTCAGAAGTGTGCAGGCATATAAAATGCTGCAATCAACATGCATTAACCTCTTTTATTTTTAAAAAGTGAAGGCAATAGAAGCAAGTACAGTCCTTTAAACACTCATTAAATCCTAATCTCATATAGAATGTTTAACTGTAGCACCAGCACTGCACTTCAAGTTACAATCTTCTGAAAACTTGACTACAGATCTAAAGCCAATGTTGTACTGTTTGTTCTCATCAGCTCTAAGCGTGCGGTGGATGAGAGTGAGATGGAGGCAGCTGAGAGACGAAGCCTCCGCTGCGTCTGGGTCATCGGTGGACGAGCTCTGACAGAACAGGAAGCAGCGGAAGAAATAGTTTCTGAGGCAAGGCTCCTTCTTCAAGAAGACCTGGCCCAGTTAGGAGTTCAGTGGGACCCGACAACGCTTCCTGCTGGTGCTCCTGCTGTAAACAGCCCTGATGACGCTCACAGCAGGGACTCGGACACATCATCTGACTCACATCTCAGCTCACATGAGACACAGACAGACAGCGCTGAAGAGGATCAAAAGCGAAAGCAGATCAAGAGGAGAGTTACTGAGAAAAATAGAGAGGAGAGGAAGGAAATTGTTCAAATTGAGAAAAGGTTGGCTGAAGGGACAAGAAAAGGTGGGCAAGAAGGAGAAGCCAGAAGAGAGCAGTGGAACTGCAAACCTGAAGTGAGGGAATTAAAGAGAATATTGGAGGAGCCTAGAAAGAAAGACAGGGCTGCATCAGAAATCAGACAAACAACCAATGAAGTTCCAGTGGAAAGAAGTGAAGAAACAATAAAAACAGGGGCAAATACATTAAAGGCAAATATAACAGAAAATCCAGATAAGGTGAAAAAAAGAAAACAGAAGAACATAGGGTCAGTACAAGAAGGAGAAGAGTGCAAAAAAGCAACACCAAAAGAAAGAGAGACAAGTAAAGGGTCTGTCTCAATCAGACCAGAGAATCATCAAACCATTTGTCTTGTTCCTGAAAGGAGTCTAACACAGGAGTTGTCTGAGATTGTAGCCAGCCCCCTGTCTCAACTGTTGCCACAGCCAGAGCCCTTATGTTCTCCAATGCTGCTCCCACGCTTTAGAGCCCCAATATCCCGGCAAGAACAACAACAAAGTGTTTCAACAAGGACAGCAAAAGGAAACTGCACCACAGGGCTTACTGCCTCACCTGTGCAGTCAGGTATACTGAAGCATTCAAAAGCATTAAGCAAGGTCCTCCAGTCCATACAAACTGACAAAAGCCTACAAGATAATGTAGAGACTGCACAGGCATCACACTCAAAACCCACAATGGATTCTTCAGTCCAAAACTCAGTGCCTTCAGGTACCGCTACAGCTGTTCCTGCTCCTGTTGAAGAAACACTTCCTAGTGTTTCTGCACCTACAAATGCTGATGTGTTAGACTCTCCTTTGTCTGTCTCTCCTGAGGCCAAGCGAAGAAAGATAGATGGCAAAGAAGCAGATAAGTTTTCATCTCCTGAACTCTACGCAGCAGACAAGACAAATGAAGAGGCTGAAGGAGATGTTAAAATGGGAGAGGAGAGTTTTGGTGACAGCTTTGAACTGGACACTCAGACAGAAAGAATCATTGTTCAACAGACAGACCAACACAGAGAAGACAATGGCAGACGTATGGATGAGTTGGTAGAAACTCAAAAGACAAGAGAAGAGGAAATGGTAGAAACAGCAGTCGAGCATGCTGAGAACAAAGATGAGAGAAGAAATGAGCTTGAAGGGCCTAATAAAGCATCTCCCAGATTCAATATTTCTCTCACAGATAGCCAGATGGAACTCATCCTTAACACCAGCCACCAGGTAAGTGACTAGAATCACCTAATATGTAATGATCGCCTATAGGAAACACCGTCTAATCCAATATTCAACCTCTTTAAAAATTAAAAGCTTTGGTGTTGTTTTCAGATTTCCGTTGGTCCAGGTGGTGGCCTTAACGCAGATAACAATGAAGGTGCACGAGATGATCAGAGCCCTGATGCTAATCAGGCTGCTTCTGAGAATTTTAACAAAAGCAGCAGCTTCCTGTTCGACAGCCTGTATGACAGTCCCCTCCTGGCAGGTCTGAGTCCTGACCAATCAGACGAAGACGAATCTATCAGCCAGGAGGTCAGAGACAAGTGTCCTCCTCCATCCACCCAGGACAGACGACGCAGCGAGCTTCTAGCCAACCAGGAGGCAGAAAAGCAGGAGGCAGTCCAATGGGGCGAGTCCTCCTTTAACCTGTCAGAGTGGGGCGACTCGCTGTTGGTCGGTGAACATTTTCTGGAGCGGCAGACTTTGTTGAAACCCACAGAAAGAACTGAAACAGTGCAAGAGACAAGCTACCATCAAGTGAAGCCACCAAACACTGACAATGTTCTGTGTGAAGAACAGCAGTCAAAGCCACAATCTGAACCATGTGGGATACAGCCACAGCATACGACTACAGCTCAAAATGAGTTTAACAAGGAAAAAGCTATTAATAATCATGACCATAGAAATGAAATTAAACAGCATAATAATGCACCAAAAAACGTTAAACAAGGTGGGAGACAGGGACTGATGAATGAAGACAGTGGAACTGGGAATCAGGGAGAGAAGAAAAGAACTGAGGAAAAAGACAAGGAAGAAAAAATGGATGCTTTATTATCAGATAATGCAGTTTTTAAACACCCACCTGTCCAAAACGCACCTTTTTATTGCAGCCCTGGTATACAAGACATCTTTGACCGCTGGCCAAGTATGTCTGACCAGCAAAACAAAACAGGAGGCCTCACAGTCACTCAAACACCCACCACTGCTTCAGTGATACCTCAGACCTTGACAGAAGCTGGCAGAACAAGGGGAAAGTTAAAGCAGGCTGTTTCTGGTGACAGTGACTCTGAAAAAGGACAAACCTCGAAACATGACGGTGAGAATGTAACAGAGCGGCCAGGCTCTGCTGGTGACCTTATTCCCCCAACTCAGGAAACACCACCTGTCACACCAAGAGTAAAACTAACAACCTCATCTGTTCAGTCGCCTCTCACTGCTCAACTACGTAACCAGTCAACTCCCTCAAGCCTTTTCCAAGGAAAATCGGCAAAATGTCTTAAATCTCACTCAGGAAACAGTAATCATCTGTCAGGAGTTGTTTCTTACAATAAACAGCTGAAAACTGTCCCTGAACATCAACACAAATGTCGTAGACTGGAATCAAAGATGCTACCTAAACCTGATCTGGAGTCTGTACCACCCTCAAGTTTGAAAACCAAACCCTCCCCACATACCAACCAGAAACTCTCTCCTCCCAGAGACTCCACTTCTCAAGCCTCCCCTGAGCCAAAGCATCTGTCTGAGACAGAATCGCCTGAAATTCATGAAGGCTTCACTCTTCAGCTCTCTCAGGATGCATCGCTGTCTTCTAGCAACTCTGGGAGCTTCTCCATCATAGATGTGGCAAGTGACAGACACCTCTTTGACACTTTCATTAAAGAGTGGACAACAAAGGAGCGCTACTCTCTGACTTTGGCCTGTGAAAAGAGGGAGCCCAGACAGCAGCCTGACGGGGAAATAGGAGGAAAACATAGGCGAGGTAAATGAAACACTTGAACAAATAGCACATTGACTTCCTGTAAAATATGATAAAATGGTTGCCAAGCACTTAGCGCTAAATTGACATTATCTGATATTTTGTATTTGTGCAGAGATGTCTTTTTTTGTACCTGTCTTTTGCCTTGTCAGCTACAACACAGACAACCAAAGTAGCCTGCCCTGAATGAAATCTCCTCATTCATGCATGTTTTCTGTGCAGTGTCAGCAGCTCATCAGAACACTGCTAATGGTTTCCCAGTAAGGAACAGTGAAGGACTTGTGTTGATTGGACTGTCTGTCTGCTGGGGAGCAAGAGATGCATACTATATATCTCTGCAGCAAGAGCAGAGCAGAGGTATTGACACACAGACATATGCCTTTTGATGCACAAGCTACATCTTAAAAAATGTCTCCTGAGTTCAGGCTGTCTGTCACCCTGCAGGTCTGAGTTCCAGTCTGGCCCCACCTCCACTGGATGATGATTTGCCAGTAAGTGAGCGGCTGCTGCAGGTGAAATCTTGTCTCAGCAGACAATCTGCTGAACATGAAGTGCGAGTGGTCGTCACATATGACATCATCCAGGTGTACAAAACGCTAGTTCTGAGCTGTGGCATCAGTTTGGAGGGAGATTGTGAAGACCCAAAGGTAAGAAAACAGAAATCACATGTGCACCCTTTAAATATGGAAGTTATTAGCTTTTCTTGACATTTAAACACGTATTTGATCCACCTGAACTGGTGTCTACAGAAAAAGGTAAAATACTCAAACATAAAACTTACATATTGTAGTCCTCATTTTAAAAAAAAAAAAGGAAAAACAGATCAGCTACATGGAAAAAGTAAGTGTACATTTATCATGCCATCATCCAGATCAGGTGCCAATGACAAGAACTTCTTTAAGGAGTGACAGGTGGAGCCTTTATTTAACCCTCTGACATCTAGGGCCGAGAGTTCTCTTTGCTTTCAAGGTGTGTGGTGTCAACATGCAAAGATCTACAGAACTATCCAGGGCCTTCAGAAAAAAAGGTTGTGAAGGCATGAGTGTTGGAAGGAGTTTAAAATGTCTCCAAATGATCTGAAATAAATCCTTCCACTGTAATCATCTACAATAGTGTGGATTTCAAACAACTGCCGGTGTGTCCAAAATTGGCTGCCAAAGCTAAATCTGGCCAAGAGCAGACCCCAAAAAATTCATTACAGGATCTGCAGGTAACTCTACAACTGTTGGTGTCAAAGTGCTGCAACTGCAATCAGTCAGATAGTTCACAAATTTGACCTGCATGAGAGACATGCCAAGAAAATGATTTTGCTGTCCCAAATACTACAGTTTGTTAGTGGATGTAAAGGAAAAGACAGGCCATTTGGAATAGTGCGGTCTAGAAAGATGAATCAAAGATGTTGTTTGGCTACAGTAACAGTAGAACCGCATACCACCTGTGAGGAGGAAATGTTATGTTGGTGGTTGCTTCACTGCCTCAAGATCTGCACAGCCTGCAGTAACTCATTCAAGTATAAATTCTTTATCATATCAAAGAGTGCTTGAAGATCACGTGAGACCATCTGTCTGAAAGCTGAAGTTGAATCGGAAGTGACCTTTTAACAGGATAATGTTCAAAAGCACACTTCCACCCCAGAATGGCTTCACAGGAAGAAATGGAGGATTATGGAAGACCTAGTCTAGTCTAGATTTGAAATGTTGTCGAGGAATTTTGAATGGGCAGTATATGAAAAAAAAAAAAAAGCTTAATCATCTTGCAACTGAAAGAGTTTTGCATGGAAGAGAAGTCAGAAATGTCAGCAAGCCAAAGCATTCTCATGCATTCTGTTAATTTTAACTAAATAGGACTTTGTAAAAAGCCCACGATTGATATTCCCACATGGAAAATCTATGAAGTGGTAAACAGCTCTGCTCCAGTGTTAACCAGGATGGTCTCATTTAAGTTGTAAGTTTTTAACGATCTGAATAATTTGAATTAATCTATCATCACATACAGAATCTGTACATTACGGCCTTAAAAACAATATTTAATGTGCACAAATATGGGTAACAATTTTATAAAACATCAGAAACAGTCTTAACAATGCAGCAAAATGACTTTGTTTTGAATGTCCACCAAAGGTTGCATGCTGGCTGTTGGACCCTGGCAGCGAGGAGAGGACTCTACCCAACATGGTGACTGTCTACTGTCCTGAAGAGTTAGCTCTGCTGGATGGACTCGGGAATGCACAATCATACTGTCCTCGAGTCAGAGCGGCAACGAAGAGTGTGCTCATACACGCTGTCATGAACCATCTCACTGCCCTGCTGGAGGGAGACGGCACACTAGGTATAAAAACAAAACACTGTAAGATCTGTTGTGAAAATAAGCTATTTAGACATTGTTTTAACATGTGCGTATATTTCAGATGTATTCAGGAACATAGAGATGCCTTCCCAGGTTTGTTTGGCCCTGTTGGAATTAAATGGAGTTGGCTTTAGCACTGAAGAATGTGAAAGACAAAAACATGTGATGCAAGCCAAACTGTCAGCGCTGGAATCTGAAGCTTACAGCCTCGCTGGACACAGCTTCTCCCTCACTAGTGTTGATGACGTAGCTCAGGTCTGACATTACTTCTCTAACCCAGCCTTGTTTTTGAATCAATCTGCAGTTTGGTCAGCGAAGCACATGTGCAAGCAGTGTTAGATGAATATTTCCAAACTTCTGTATGCTCACGTGCATGCTGTAGGTGTTGTTCTTGGAGCTCCACCTGCCTCCAAATGGTGATGTAAATGCATCAAAAAGTAAGAAGACTCTGGGCTACACTCGGAGAGGCGGTGGCAGAGTGCGACTGGGCAAGCAGTTCAGCACTACCAAGGTGAAAACATTTTGCAGAATACAAAATCATTCCTGCAGTTCCACTGTTGTCATACAACAGCAAAATTATCTTTGAGTAAACACATGCACAGTTTGATGAATTGAAATGATGGTGTCAGTGTTGTGGAAATTCTCTGTGCATGTTTAAGAGCTGCATATTCTCTGAAGAATTTAAAACTTGGTGTGATGAATCAAGTCATAGTTTATGCAGCATGGAGAAAAGGACTCTTGTTTGTTTTCTGAGGGACTTACAGAGTGCCTTTCTTTATGTGCCACACCACAAGTAGACATCCGTTGCTAAACTCATTACAGTTGGTCACACTCAGGTGTTAATGTTGTGTCTTGTTCACAGCCTGCTATGAAGTGCCTTCTGCCTTCCTCAACATAACAGCGCATCCATGTTGACTTGGCTGATTCTCATTCAGCTTCCTCATAACTTAAACTCCCAAAATCCTGAACATTACTAAATCAACAGACTGAGTTCTTAGATCAAAAATGTTTATTTCCCTCATCAGGATGTCCTGGAGAAGCTTCGCCCTCTGCATCCGCTGCCAGGTGTAATTCTGGAGTGGAGGCGGATCACTAATGCCTTGACTAAAGTGGTGTTCCCACTGCAGAGGGAGAAGCAATGTCACCTGACACTGAAGATGGACAGGATATACCCCATCGCCCAGACGCACACAGCCACAGGTAGAACACACACTAACACACAAAGACTTTACGTGCACCCGTCTTTATTGTAAGTAATGTAATGTAGACATACCTCAGTATGACTTAAAACGTGCTCTTGTGCAGTTCATTTGTAGTTGAAGTAAATATAAAGCATACAGTGACCCAGCTCTTTCTGGTTTTAGGTAGAGTGAGCTTCACTGAGCCCAACATACAGAATGTCCCCAAAGACTTTGAGATCTACATGCCCACGGTGGTGGGTGAGAGTCAGACTTCACAAGACGGCTGCCACATGAGCAGCAAAGCGGGGTAGGTCAAGACTTCCTCGGGTCAAAGTTCACAACTTGCATGTCTCCAGTGGAACCTTATTTTTAGCGCTTGTGAATTTTCTTGTGAAATTTGATACATAAAATAAGTTGGCACTCAAACTGCACTGGCAACTCGAGATTTTTGATACATTTTACAGTGTGCCTAATTGTTTTTAGAAAAGTGTGGATATTATTTTCAGAATGCAAAGGTTTATATGTTAAATTCATATTTAATATTTGCAGTGTGTTGATCCACCTGGATAAGGAGGCAACTATACACCTTATTTACCTTTTTTTTTGCTTGTGATGTTGAGCCCAATCTTCCATGCTAATAGCCACCTGTAAGAAATATATACAAACAAGAACAGTAACACTCCCACAGTGTAGCACAAAAACTATCATGTAAATATATCTGTGTTTCACTTTATATTGATTTCAAAATGGATTTAAAATGGAAAAAAAAAGAAGAAAAAAATATACACTGTGGGAAATTTTATAAAATATACTCAGTATTGCCTGATATGTTGAGGTGATGCACTTGATTCCACAAGATTTATCCCAAGTTGAACATGTAAAGAGTGAAAAATATAAGGTGGGCTGCTAGAATAATTTTCTTACTCTGTGTTTCAGAAAGAAGAGACGCTCTGTGGTGCCCTCAGTCACAGCTGAACCTGCAGAACAGGGCCCTGCATTCTCCGTCAGCATGAGACATGCTTTCATTCCTTTTTCAGGTTACTATGATGATACTGTTGTTGTGTATGGGTAATTACCGTTTCTGTCATCAGCTTTTTCCTCAAACTGTCCTGTCAGCTGTGTCTGTCTGTTCTGAACCGTAGGTGGAATGATATTAGCTGCTGATTACTCCCAGCTGGAGTTGAGAGTTTTAGCTCACCTCTCAAAGGACCAGCGCCTCCTGCAGGTCAGCGGCTTTTAGATACAGTGAATAGCAAGAAAACAATGTATCAAACATCAATAAACTAACTGAGATGGCTGACACTCTGTGCATTCACAAGGTGCTGAATGGAGGAGCAGATGTGTTTCGCTGCATCGCTGCTGAGTGGAAAAGCGTTGACCCAGAATCTGTGCAAGACAGCCTCAGACAACAGGCAAAACAGGTACAACCGGGCAGAAAGATAACATGGACACGCATAGATGCTCACCTGTAAGCTCACCAGCGTGTGCATGTATTTGTGTTTGCAGATTTGCTACGGCATTATCTATGGGATGGGAGCCAAATCTTTGGGGGAGCAAATGGGAGTGGAGGAGAATGATGCAGCCTGCTACATCGAGAGTTTCAAAGCCAGATACAAAGGTGTGCACTGGGTCAGACACAACACTCACACCTGCAGCACCAGTGAGAAGTCATGTGCCTACTTTGGTTAAGTATTTGCCACAATCCCTGAGTGTCCTTTAAGACAGCCTGGCTTTGGGGGTTAAAAACAACATCATGTCACTGACAAAGACTGTATATGCACACAGTCCAGCTAACATGATTCAATGGATCAAATACACCTGATCAAGTATTAAGGTTTTGCAGGGTTTGCATTGAGATGACAGTAAAAACACACACTGAGAAGCTGAAAGGACTAATACAGTTAATAGACATTGAATCTGTAGAGGCATCTCCATGTACTTTACATACAATAAGAGGCATAACATGAAATTATTTTGAATGTTTCTGCTAAATGTGACTTTCTTTAAGTATTTGATGAAAGAACAATGTTTTTATTAGTGTTATAAAGAATAGAATTGTACACGTGAAACCTTCTAATATAATATTGCCCCTAAAACCCTGTTTTAGTCACACTAAAGCCAGCAGCTGCGAGAATGTGGTGCAGTAGGTAAATTGTGGGATACACTTGGCTCTAAATCCAGATTTGAGGCAGTGTACGAGAAAAGTACACATCAAGTGCAGGTTAAGTAAATAGGTGAAGCATGTTGGTATTTCTTCAACATGGCATACACTTTTCTACTACCTGGTGGTGCATGAACATGGACCTAAGTGCTCGAGACCTTAAGTGCTGGTTTTGGAAGCCTCTCTGTTTAATACCAGTCATTGCTTGCTGGGCCCAGGTATGAATACACAGTACTGTATGTGAATTATTTGTGTACTTATGTGTTGCTTATAGTCATTCCAATGTCCCTATAATCATACACACATATGCAGTTGTTTGAAATGTATTTGACTCAGATTATTTTCTACTTTGTTGCCTAAGTATACATGTGGAAGAAAAAAAAAAAGCTTGTAATACTGAGAAGGACCATTCTAAACACAACAAAGGTTACCTATGTACAGATATTTACATCTGTGTCTTGTCTTACGTTTCAGGGATCAATGCTTTTCTTAAACAGACTGTTAAGAACTGTATAAAAGATGGCTATGTTCAGACGCTGATGGGCCGTAGGAGATATCTGGCTGGAATCACCAGCACCAATGTGCACATCAAAGCTCATGTAAGCAAGCTTGTACATCCCAATTTATCTGTAAAGTGTAATATGAAACTCGTGTATGTTTTGTTTTAATCCATGTTTAATGCCCTGTCTGCTTCCCTCTCTTCCTCCTTCACTTGTTCAGGCGGAGCGGCAAGCAGTGAACACAACCGTACAGGGTTCAGCAGCTGACATTGTTAAATTGGCCACTGCGAACATCCAGAAACAGCTTCGAAAATCATATCCTGCAGCTCCACTGTCTCACCAGCACACACACTCAGGTGACCTCAACGTGATCTCATCTCATTTTGTATGACTGCAACATGCAGAGACGACCACTGAATCATTAAGTCAATTAATCATGTCTGTAATCATGTCAGCTCGAAATAACCGCAGAGCTGGGACGTCTCTACTCAGAGGAGCCTACTTTGTCCTGCAGTTGCATGATGAACTCATCTACGAAACCACAGAAGAAGACCTCATACAGGTACGAGACTGAGTGTGTGGGTTGTCAATCCATGAGTGATAGTTGATAAATATGTTTGTTTGAAAAATACATTCAAACATTTCATTCAGTGTATTGTCTGCACATTTCGGAGAAAAATTATTTTACCTTCTCGTCCCAACCTCTCTTTCTGTCAGGTTGCACAGATAGTCAAGCGGGAGATGGAGTCAGCAGTGAAACTATATGTGAAGCTAAAGGCCAAAGTTAAAGTGGGACCCAGTTGGGGGAACCTGCAGGACCTTGATATATAAAGTGAATAATTTAATATTTCCAAATCTAACACAATGCACTTTTTTTCCTCAGTGTTATTTAAGATATGTAGATACTATCATATGCACAAACTCATTTTTTAAAATCACAATAATGAAATGCAACTTAAATCCAGTCTATGGTTTTGCTATGAGAACTAAATGAACTACTGAATGTATTTATAATTCTATTCTCTAGTGTACAATATCATAAATGATGCATTTTCCCAATACATGATAGCCGATGGAATAAATGTAAAAAATACTGTCTGCAACAGTCAGGGAGGTTGAGGATTTTAAAACAGAGACTCAGCAGTTTTAATTTTGTAGACATCCTGAAATCTCACATTTTATTGGACCATGGGTTGAGCTGTCGGTCACAAGAACATACATCATTTTCATTGTCACTCATTAACACTGTTTTGTTTTACATGTAAGTTTACTGCACAAGAAGTCTTGTCAATATGGTAGACATTTGCTGTGCAAAGAAAAATGTAACCACCTGTGGTTATGGGCAGAAAAATAAAAGAATGCCAAGGAAGCATTTTGTGTGACTTCAGTTTTGACTGTTTGGCTTCAGTTCAGACGTTTATTCAAGACAGATGACAAATCTTACTTTATCGTCAGATGGATCTCAACAAACTCAATACAAAGCTTGATTTTAATGATTGAATTCAACATTGACATTATTGCCAATATAAGCCAGCGCAGGCTATTTCAAGACCCATTTTACAACCTTCCATGGGAACTAAATGGGAGGGTGGTTTATATGCCTGGATTAACAGGTTTAGGATGACTTGCTCATTATTGATTAACAATTAACCAGTGCACCATGACTCAACAGAGCTCATCAACACAGGCTCAGTTTGACACAAAAAAGGAGTAACAAGTAAATAAATACATGTCACAAACACACATCCATAAACAAATATAACAAATAAATCATGAACAGAAAATATTTCTTTTTTTTTTTTTTTTAAACAAATTATTTTTTAAATGGTAGGAGTGTGATCCCAGATGTTGGTACAGATGTTTCATGTCTGTCAAAATAAGGCTTTTCTGTGTGAAACAGTCATTAAACTCATGCCAGTACTTTATCTAATGATGAATATATTGTTTGCCCAAACATGATAACTGATTTCAGTGCAGTCATTACTGAAGTATTTAACAAGGTAGGTAAGACTAGCAGCAACAGGTGGGTAGTTTTACCCATATTGTTACGTGCACCACACATCGGCTGTGTCATTTCATGCACAGCAACTGACTAGAAGCAATGTGATAAAACTGCTGCCTTTCTGAAGCAGTTGATGTGCATCAACTTGTGATGAAGCATCACAAGATGCTGCCAGTGTGTGTTGCTGGTGAATGTTTGGGTAATATCCATCCCCCATGATATAGAGCAATCATCTGCAGACACAATGATAATCAGTATCTTTGGTGGTTTTTGCCATTGTCCACGGACATGTTATACCTTTAACTTACACAACATATATTGGCGTGGCCAGTTTCTATAAGGGGAGAGGGCCAACAACTGGTAACTTCTGTAGATGGCCAAAGCGAGAGGACTCTGAGGAAGAGGAATTTATTATGTCTACCAACTGCAAATCTTTATTGCGCCAACAACCTACTCACACCCCTTTCAGACACTAGCAGATTTAAAACAAAAATGAAGGGGAAAATAATGGGGCTGTGTGTTGGGACTACGCAGGTTTCTGTAAACATAGTTTTCAGTCAGACTCACTGCCACAAACAGAAAAAGGTTATTAATCAATTAAGGCATCGACACAGGCAGAGCTGTGTATTTCACCAGAGTAGAAAACAGAACAGAGAAAATATATGTACACTGGTACAATTATAAGTGCTACTCAAGCAGCCTTGTGTTCCACTGGCTAGATCTGAGGCAAGAAAAACTGGGACCACGACTGGCCTTTCTTGCTCCGTGATGTACAGGTGGGGGATTGTGCTGGGGCCAGGAGCTTTGCCCTTGTCAGATTACATCCTGAGGGAAAACTCTCGGCCCTGGCCTTGGTTATTGGGGATATAACAATTTACATGAAAGAAGGGAAATAAGGACACAAGAGGTTTGAGGATGACATCTAGGAAGGTGTCACGGCGTCTCACCATCAGGGCTGAAGTAGTACCTGACAGGAGGACCGGGGAGGTCCTCATCTCCATCTGCCTCTGGAGCGAATGATACAGTGAGGTCAACGTAGCGGCGGTCCACTGATGGCTTGATCAGCTTCTGCATCCTGTGGAAGGTCAGAGAATCAAGATGAAATTCATTTGTTCCACTTAGGTAAACGATAAATTATTTCAGTTTAAGTATGAAAGAAAAATACTTTATAAATGATCAAATACATTTTGTAAATTTGGGTGTTATGCTTCACTTTAATCCATTAAAGCACCACATATACAGACACGTATACATGTGTGATGATAAAGAAGACCATTTGTTGACTTAATTGATTTGCCACACACTGACACCTTATTGACTCAAAAGGGCACTTCTTCTTTGTGTCACAAATAAAGACAATAAGGAGAAAGAGTTCAGAGTAAAGAACTTACGTCAGTTTGAGTCTCTTTGAGTGTCCAGGCATCACAGGCACATAGAGCATCTTCACACCGTGGACCACCATAGTGGGCTCAATTCCATACTTTTCCTAAAATGAAACAACAAATCATCAGCAAACTTTAACTTGACAAAAAAAAAATATGGCAAACAATTTAAGCCTATGGGGCAACTGCACCTGATTTACAAAGACAAACACTGAACAATCCAAGTAAATTTTTCTTACCCGCACTGCATTCATGAAGTCAGAGAGAGTGAAGTCCTCATGGCCAAAGATAGTCCAACAGTCCCAAATGGAGAAATAGATGTTGTTCCTGGGAAAAGACGCCATGGAGTTGTTTCTATGTTGCATTATAATAGTAAGGTGAGGTCATGAGGATTAGCAACTTGAAATTTGAAGTGCACAAAAGTTAAAACAATGCTTTTCAGCCAGGTGCCATCCACTCACCACCTGGGTGAGACTGTGTGTGTGTGTGTGTGTGTGTGTGTGATAGAGAAACTGCAAATATGCGCTTACCTGATGGGCGTCCGTTTAACCGGGGCAGGCTCAGTTAGCACAACGACAGGAATGGCCAAATTAAAGAAGCAGTTTTTGAAAGATTCAAACCCGTAGCCTCCAACCACTTTGATCAACTCCAGGGCCACCTGAGTGCATCCAAATAATAACACACGTGAAGAGTCTCTTGAATAGCAAAATGTTAAATTTTCGACAACTGTGTACAATACAGTACAGTTGATTTCCAGATCAACAATAAAAAAAAGTATAAATGAATGGAAAACGAAACACATACACATTGTTAGCCACATGCAATTAAACTGAAAAGTCAAATCTAAGTATCTAAACACTAATATGAAGTTAAACTGGCAATATATCAGAAATTGTAATATAGATATATAATAGATACATATTGTATTGATCCAGAGGGAAATTGAAGTATCAAGTACCTTAAAAATATAAACGTAGTCATACAGAAAAATTTTACTAAAATATGAAAAGACTGCAATGCAGTATAAATATGGTGCTGCATGTACAGCAGAGAGGTAAAGCTGTACTCTGAATAAATATGTATAATGTCAATCATTATATATCACCAACTTTTTGAAATTAAACCGTCTTTACAGGACAAGCAATGCATGAAGACATGAGTAATAATCAAAGTTGTAATAAATGACTGTTCTCACCAGTCCAGCCACAGCAGCTGTTGCCGTGGCAATTGCGGGGATGATCTTGCCGGCAATGCGTTTGGTCTTAAGTCTGTCAGCGGGCTCGATGGAGTACATCCTGGCTCTGAGGGAAGATGCTGATGTGACAAAATCCATGTGGCCGTTGCTGTCGTCGTCCTTTTCGAACTGAAGGGGACTCATCTGTAGCTCCTCTGACAGAGCACATGTGAAAGAATACACGATATTACTAACTAATACAAGCAGTTTTATAGTGTTTGTAATACAGATTTACCCTCCTAACAGGAAGGACTGCACATTCTTCAGCTGTTCACACAGTTGTAATGGATATAACCACTTCAGAGGGGCTTACTACACAGCAAGTTCAACATAGTCAGGCTTTCTTTGCGTTAGCTGCCAGAGATAATCAGAGATAATTGGTTTACAACTGTGATTATCTGTCTGATTAACTGTCTTTGTTGACCCGGGTTTTCTTCATCAGGCTCTGTGCATGTTCCCATAAACGGGGAATTTTGACGCATGATTTGACTCTCGTGCACAAAATGGACCAATCACATGTCCCCTTCGGTCAAGAGGAACGGATTGTTATAGTGGAGAATTCGGGAGACTATTAACTATTTATCACAGCAAAAAGCACTGTTACTAAAAAAGGCAAGCGTGGAATGCTGGTTGTTACGGGCTGTTAAATTGTTAATCGTGTGCTTTAATCTATGTGTTTACCACTTAATGTGCATTTAGATGTTGAAGTTTTAACATACATACAATTAAACATATTACTCAAGAAGTGAATTTAGGTTCAACACTATACCATAATAAATGATACATGAAAATCCCTTTCCCTTAGTTTTTGGCCAAATCAAAGTAATATGAATGTTACTAACTGAATATTCCTTGTGGTGAGTACAAAAAGACTACTCAATTTTCTAATCTGTGTTCTATTAGCTGCAGTACAGCAGTGTAAAACAGACGGGACGGCTAATCAGAATTAAGGATAAAAACATATTTATGCATTTTCTGCATCACTAACTGACTGTATGTAAGCTCCTGTGCCAATGCGACAAATACACGTTGCACCACTGTAACTGTGCGACTTCGTTCAAGGGCATGACTAACGTACGGCTACACAGGTTTGAAAATATAGCTACTGTACTCCTTCAGCTGTGAATCGATATTACTTCTAAAGACTATCATCAGGAATCCAAATCTCTGAACACACGCTCCTCTGCAGCTTCTCAGCCTTGCAGCGTAAGTGACGATGGTGGTTTTGCACGTTAAAGTCACCGTCACGACACTGAAGACTCTGGCTTTAGGCACACCTCACTAACCCATTACTCTTGCTTTGTAGGAAACCACTTTGGTTTCAGATTTAAGCTTCCATGTCTGTTTAAAAATGTTTGTTTGTATACCTGGTGTGACCCTGTCAGCAGCAATGGCCTCCTCCAGCTGTATGATGGCCTCCCTCTCCTCTTCACTGCTTACAGGCAACTTCATCTGATCAGGCTTCTTTGCCGTCTCATCTGTCTCTATACACTGGTAAGGACAGATCCACAACAAGATTAGGATTATTATTTTCAACTCACACAGATATCAAATGCCATATCAGTTGAGAGGCTTACTTTCTCTAAGGGTCTGTACTCAGGAATCTTGACAGCTGAGAGAATCCTGGTCACCTCCTCTTCAGACAGATCCTGATACACAGAGAAGCCCAGTCAGTCAGTGATTAAGAGCTTCTGTTCAGAAGAGCGTACACCTAAGAATATGTGACCTACCTTTTCTGAGTAAGGGATGTTATAAATCCCTGCAAAGAGCCGGGCAGTGCTGACAATGAAAGTGAAGTGCCTGGTGGGAATAGAGGAGAGTTTGGCAAGCTTAGATGGGAAAAATGCAGTCTGAGAAAGGCTTAAACAGTAATACGGGAGTATACTCACAAAGAGTCTTTCAAGTCAAAATCAATAGGTGTTGGAGGTCTTTTTGGGGACTGCCAAAACAAACCTAGGGAAGAAAAGATATTTTGTTTATGGTACCATTTTATACTCTATTTCTGCATAATAAACTAGTAAGAAATCAGTTGATAGCTTTACAGGTTTGCATGTAATTCGCAAAAACTCACTTCCATCTTTTAACCTTGTGTCCAGGGGGAAAGAGTG